CCTCCTCCTCCTCCTCCTCCTCCTCCTCCTCTGTCCAAAACAAATTTCTTTCTTCTTCTTCTTTTGAGAAGTCGTCAAACCTAATATCAGCTATTGGCTTCTAATTATGTTTTGAGTAGCCCTCACAATTCCTGGATGTAGGATATAGAAATCAATGATTCCATGAATAGTTAATATAAATGTAGTTTTGTTTTCAGGTTTTATCAATAATATATTGGGATTCATGCTACCATTTTAAGGTACAGGTGGTCCTCAGTTTACAACTATTCATTTAGCAACTATCCAAAGTTACAACAGCAATGATATAACTCATGATATAACTGAATTGAGGGAAGGCAAATTTCCTGATCTGAAAAATAATGACCTTGTTATTCTTGATTTTGAACAAATGGACACCAAATTAATTTAACTATTTTTTATTCCAACAGACTACAATAATAAAAGAAAGTATGAGGTCTGAAAATTACAGCATGGTGAAAGAATTCATTTTTATAGGTTTTCCTGGCATCCAGAAATTCAAGATTCCTCTATTCCTGATCATAGCAGTGATCTACATATTAATATTAAGTGGAAATGTTCTGATTTTCTTCTTTGTGTGGAAAGATTATCGACTCCAAACCCCATGTATTGGCTTCTGGGCAACCTTTCCTTCTCAGGACTTTGCTTCACTACTGTCATTATACCCCAAATGATATAATATAATCAATATAATATAATCAATATAATCACAGAGTGAAAAGTTATTTCCTTTATGGGTTGCATAATGCAGATGTATTTCTATTTTTCTTGGGAACTTCAGATTACATTCTGTTAGTTATCATGGCCTTTGATTGCTATGTAGCCATCTGAAAGCCCTTGAGATATTCTGTCATCATGAGTGGTTGGTTCACCTTCCAGCTTGCTGCTGGGTCTTGGACAGGGGCCTTTTTCTCAGTCCTTTTTTCAACAATCCCCTTTTATCTGATCCCATTTTGTGATCCCAATGTTATTAACCACTTCTACTGTGATATTCTTCCTGTGCTCATGCTGGCTTGTAAGGACACAACCATGCTGAAATGGTTGAGCTATATATCAATGGCTCTTATTGTTCTGTGTTCACTTTTTCTAACCTCAGTGTCTTACATATATATCATTGCCACCATTCTACGCATTCCATCTTCATCTGGTCGACAAAAAGCATTCTCAACCTGTGTTGCTCACATTACTTTGGCCTTGATTTTTTTGTGGGTGTCCCATTTTCATGTACCTTCTACCAGAGAAAATCCATTCCTCTGGTTTCTACAAAGGTATGGCCCTGCTTCACACTGTGGTGACACCTTTGCTGAATCCATTCATATATACCCTTCGGAACGAGAAAGTAAAAGAAGTCTTCAAAGATGCATTGAAACAAATGGACATTCTTGCCCCCAAAGTGGAATCATTTAATTCAAGAGTATGTTGATTCTAATACCAATGTATATCCCAGTGTGTGTTCTTTTCATGCCTTGGTTATTGTGAATTAAATCCCAGATCTAAGGTAAAGGTAACATAGGTGCTAGTCATTTCCAGATTTAGGGTGTGGTGCTTATCTCCTTTACAAAGCCAAAGAGCCAGCACTGTCTGCAGACGTCTCCATGGTCATATGGTCAGCTTGACTAAATGCCAAAGTTGTACAGAATGCTGTTACCTTCCCAGCAAAGTGGTCCCTATTTTTCTACTTGCATTTTTACATGCTTTCAAACTGCTAGTTGCCACGTCTAAATATATGGTTAAATTTTGTTTTGCTGAAATCAACAAAAGGAGGAATTGTAAGTGCTTCTCTGTTGAAGAATAAGAACTCCAAAGACTGCAGATTATAGTTAGTACCCCAGTTTACACACCTCCCACCAGCCAAAACAAAAAAGTAAATGCTTATATACAGAAAGCTTTTGGAGTTAAGTGCAGCAGCGAATCCACATCTAACAGCCTGAGCATATGCCAAAGCCTCACGTAGGCAAAGGAGTTTCTATACCTGCAAGACCTCACGTAGGCTGAAAGCAGGTATCGGGAACAAAAGGATGCTGCCCACCTTGGGCTACTGGCTGGACTGCAGGCATGGATTGGTTACTTTGTATCCCTTAAGCACTGTGATTGGGCGCTACAATGTATCCACTGAGACCCCCCATTCTTTTAACATGTAAAGTAGACTGAACTTTCTCTTTTGTGATGTTTAACAATGTGTGTTCAATAAAAGAGCTTCCCTGAGCGCGTGTTCGGGGCTGCTCATCCAAGACTGAACCGGCTTGGTCTCTTTCTTGATGCATTGGACTCAATGAGAAGCCCTCCTAATGTGGAGCAAAGCCGCATCTGGTGACCCCGACGTGATCTGCTGAAAAGAAGCAGACCCGCCCGCCTTCGACCTCCCATCTCACCCGGCCAGATGAGCCAGTTGCAACCCAGGGACGCCGTCTAGTGTCACGGATCCCTCCCCAGGAGAAAATCCTCCCTTCAGGTGAGTATGGGCGGGAAATTCTCTAAAGACCAGATGGTGCATCTGCAAGAATTAAGGGAATTAACGAAGAGCTCAATTTTGATTCTTAGGAGTCAGGGCAAAATGCTCCCGGCTCCAAGTAAAAAGGACCTCATAGCCCTTTCAAAGTACATCCACATGCAGTGTCCGGCTTATCCAGAAAAGGGGTCCTTAAAAGTCTCCACATGGCAATGTTTGGGTGACTTTTTTCATGATACTCCCAGGGCTCTGCCAAAGATTTTAACCACCTGGCGGATAATTATGGAATGTTTAAAAGTTCACAGCTCAGCGCTGACTAATGCTGGCACCTCCCCCTGCGGGAGGTCCCCCTCCCTATGCTGCTGAGACCAAAACCAAAGACGCTCTCCCACTGGAAGCCTCTTCCCCCACAGATCCTGAACCCTCGGTTCCTCCTAAATTAAATCCT